ATGACATAGGCTACGGAAACCCCACCATGGAATCTCCATGCCTTGTACCTCAGCTGCAGTTAAAAAATTACATTAATAAATACATTAGTTATATTACATTACATACATTACATAACATACATTACATAAATAATTTTCCCCGAAACGCTATGCGTACTAGTGGCTTTAGGTATTGTATGTACTATCTTTATCTTTAAATCCAACATTATGTATGTAACTCATTGTATGTACCTTTACCTGAATAAAAGATCTAAATCTAATTGCAACAACAGACTCAAGGCTTTTGGAACTGTAGCTGAGTATCAGCCATAATACGGTGTAAATGTTGGAATAGCTAAGAATTATGTTTTAGCATATAAATGATCTCTGAGAACTATCATTCACTATTGAAGATTATCGTTCACCATCCTTAGCAGCTCGACGATTAAATGCGACCTCAGAATACTGAAAAGAATTATTGAACAACAAATTCTACCACTTACGTGCTATTCATGCCCGTGCCACCTCTTGGGTGGCTTAATCTCTATCAATCATCAATCAATCAATGCTAAATTAAGTTCTCGGAATCATTCTTGGCTCTCTAATAACTACCAAAGTTTCCTCATACCAAATATGAGGAAATAATTAGATACACCAAGCATCCAAGATAGAATATTTGAAATCGAACTTATGATATGATTAAAGCTTCTCCGTGATAATTAAAATAACATTATCAGTTGAATTTTTAGAGCACATGCGCAGTAGTATGAGTGATTCTGGAGGCACTCAAATACAAATACAAATATTTATTCAGGTAAAGTACATACATACAAGGTGAAATACAAAAGTTGATGGATTTATAGATAGAGTTAGTACATACAATGCCTAAAGCCACTATTACGCAAAGCGTTTCGGGCAGGAAAAACACTAAGACTAAAACTTAATACTAACTTAGATTAAAGCTCGACTAACAGCCACTTAATTTCAAAATGTTTGGGTTCCACGACATATGTAAAGATGAAAAAAGTACAGCACTCCTTGCCATCCTTTTAACGTTGTTTTAGATTTAGCTACTCAGAACGAAGTGTCCATGTAGCACGGGCTATGGTGAGCCCGTAACCCTTTTAACGTATGAGGATCCCAGTAATACAGTCGGGTTCGTTCTTGACGCATAATTCTCGAGAATTCCGGGTTCGAATCCCGGACGGGACAGAAATGGTTGGGCACATTTCCTTTCACCTAATGCCGCTGTTTACCTAGCAGCGAGTAACTCGGGAGTTAGTCAGACTTCGATAAAAGCCAAACGTGTATGAATACACTCTGGCTTCCTGTCCCTCGGACGTTAATTAAAATATGACGTCGTACCCAACCAAGAAACTAATCTCAGACAGCCCTCTTTTTTTGGAGATATATACAAGAGTTGTTACATTCTTGTACAGCCACTAGTACGCGTAGCGTTTCGGGCAGGTCCCTGGAATACGATCCCCGCCGCGAAGAATCGTTGTTACAACCAAGTACACATTTTACTGTTGCGTTAAACAGAGGCTACAGTTAAGGATTTGCGCCCAGTAAATCCTCAAGCTCAGTTTGCTGCTATATTAAACATTCTTGAAGACATACACAATTTACAAACTGAAAGGATTATCACACTGACTGTATACACTCTGATGGTTCACTCAGTACAGTTACGGTGAAGGCGGAAAGTTTATCACTCCGTCGGTAACTGAACTGAAAGGAATGCGAGTCAGTAATTTGGCATCCACTTTGCAAGTTGAACTCTTGGATATCCTTGCGGAACTCAAAATCATGGAAACACTGCAGTAGACAGCTTAATTATCTCCGACTCCCACTCCTCGTTACTAGTATTGCTTAATAGATTGCACCAGCAACTACCGTACGTGCTTGTCTCTTAAGCCAGGCATAGGTTAGGTTGCTCCAGTTCAAAATTCCGCTGGTAGCCTGGTGGATAGCGTGCAGGACTCGTAATTCTGTGGCGCGAGTTCGATTCCCGCACCAGGCAGAAACAAAGTTTCTTTCACCCTGAATGCCCCTGTTACCTAGCAGTAAATAGGTATCTGGGAGTTAGCCAGCTGTCACGGGCTGCTTCCTGGTGTGTGTGTGTGTGGGTGTAGGTGGTGTGGAAAAAAAGTAGTTAGTAAACTGTTGAGAGGCGGGCCGAAAGAGCAAAGCTCAACCCCCGCAAACACAACTAGGTGAATACACACGTGAATATACACACGCACACATGGATCTTGAGATTCGATTGCACAGTTTCCCCAAACATATCAGACAGTTTGAAACAACCCAATCGCTGGGTCACCTTCTCGACTGGGCTCCCGGTCCCATGGATTGGGTAAAGATTAGGCAAGTTTGGCAGAGGTTAACCTGATCCAACTAAATAATGAAGTTAGTGGCGTAAACTTCACGAGGTTAAAAAAAATATAAGAGCAGGAAGAATAACGTTACTCCTTTTTATATATGTGCCACATTTTTGGGGCGATGAAGGGATTTGGTTCAGCTGTTTCAATGCATTACTATTTCTTTTATATGCATTATATTAGTAGGTATAACACCCTATACGTTTGGCTGTACTTATATGCTATCATGCGTACAGCCTAACACGCATTTCCTAGCTCTCACGTATTCATGCTACAGCAAGTGAACAAAATAAAGTACTTAATGTTCAGAGAGAGAGAGAGAGTGTGTGTATTAATTGGTTTTTCAGTGAACCTGGCTGGATTACCCTGGAAGCCTTCCAAGTTAAAAGGGCCCGCAGAAGCCTCATAAAGTCACAATCTCCGCCTTTTATATGTCTCCTCCACACACACGTGGTATTATACTTATTTCTACCTGAACGCTATATGCTTCCCACTTGTTTCCACTTACATTTTCACCCTAATGGGCCTATAATCTTCCATCCTTATACCGTAACTGATGTCACACTTATAAATCATTCAACTTTTTCATCCTAATGGGCCTTTAATCTTCCATTCTTATAACGAACTGATGTCACACTTATAAATCATTCAACTTTTTTTTTGTACCTGTATCTCCCTGATTTAAGTCCTGTAGCTTGCCTTAGTGACCTTATTGACTTATTCCCTACAACTCTGACTTTCAAAATTGTCTTAGTCCCTCCTTTCTCGGGACATTAAACCTATTTAAGTGAACAGAGGCATTGGGAAAAGGAAACGTGCCCAATCGTTTCTTTTCTGCCCGGGGAATGAACCTGTTGTAAGCTGAGGACGTTGACCACTGTACCACTGTTCCACTACGATTTTGATTAATCTTGCATTATTACTTTAGATTCGTGCATAGGCCAAGCTGATTAATCAGTACCAACACTCGACGTAGTATTCCCAATATTACTATCATGGGGGAAGCATCAACATTACTAGAAACCCCAATTTTATACCATGGGAGCCCCAACTCTACCAAGAGAATCCCCAGCACTATACCAGAAGCCCGGGCACTATACCAGGAGAAGCCTCGGCACTATACCAGAAGCCTCGGCATTATACCAGAAGCCCAGACACTATGGCAGGAGAAGCCTCGGCACTATACCAGAAGCCTCGGCATTATACCAGAAGCCCGGGCACTATACCAGGAGAAGCCTCGGCACTATACCAGAAGCCTCGGCATTATACCAGAAGCCCAGACACTATGCCAGGAGAAGCCTCGGCACTATACCAAAGCCTCAGCACTAGACCAGAAGCCCTAGCACTATACCAGAAGCCCCAGCACTAGACCAGGAGAAGCCCCTGCACTATACCAGAAGCCCTGACACTATACCATTAGCCCCACCTCCACCACTACGAGAACAAGTACCACCAACACTGTACTACCAGCAGAAGCTCTATAACCTTCAGCAAACTTAGAGCAAACTTGACCCGCCGACGCATCAGACACAGTTAGCCGAGAAGGTCGCAAAGTTTGGTAACATTCTCTCTTAATTTGCACCGGGATTCACTGGTAGTTCAGGATGGAGGAACAAGGCTGAGGAAAAATTATTTTTAAGAAGAGAAGGTTGGAAAAAAGAGAAGAGGAGGAGGAGGAGGAGGATAGAAAAAAAGAGACAGTTGGAGGATGGAGAGATGGTACAAAGAGGAAAGAAGAGTTGATGAGTATAAAAATGGAAAAAAGAGGGGCAAGGAGTGGATAGGAGGGAATGAGAGAGGCAAGGCGGTGATGGGAGTGAGAGGGCCGTAGAAATTCAGAGAAAAGGGGATAAGGAGAGAAATAAGGAAGGGGTAAAGTTAGGAAAGAAGATGGGAGAGGAGAGAAGAAAAAAAGTGAAGGAGTGCTTGAGGAGAGTATCACACCTTGAATCTGTTCAGTAATGTTTGTTTATGCACAGCCTTAATCTTCCATTGTAAATAGTCCTGCTGGCTTAGTGGCTTCTTTTTATAACTTACTAAATTAACTCCCACCCAATGCTGTCCTCTCCATTCCACATGTCATCTTTAATAAGAAACTCTGTGTACAATATGTTTCTTTGCTTACAATCTAACTATTTTACTGATGTGCTCAACCTTTTATTTTCAGTTGGGGGGAGAGGTTGGCAATCATTACGTTTGTTTGCTTTCCTAACAGTTGGAACAAAGTAATGAACATTTAGAAGTTGGAAGATAGACATGAAAATATTATTTGGTATATAATACTCTACATTTGTTTATCCTATATAAGGTTGTTCCATTTTCTGGCCAAGTGTAATTTTTCAGTATTTTATCCATAACAATAAAATTCCAGTAACAGTAGTGAGAGAACAGGTATTTACTTGTCTTGTATTGTCTTTTTTCTTCTCTGCTTTTTCATTAGCCAAGAGTGGAAAAAGGGATGATTATTTAGTATAGTAAATTAGCTTTGACTATGGTATAACTGGCTGCCAGTGACTTCCCTTCTTCTCAGGGTTTTATAATTTTATTTTTCTCTGGCAGTGATGTTTTAACCCAGGAGCTCTCATATGGCAATTTGATTGAATACAAGGAAATTATATGAACAGAAAAAGAAAACTCCCTTAATCATCATTTGCTGATTTTATTACAAAACTATGTGATGATGTATGCCCACCATTTCATATATTATCACAGCACTCTCAAAATATATACTGTACAGTACAAAAAAAAAAAAGTCACCGTTTGGGGAACACTAACTTCAGACAAAACATTCCAGCAGGAAAAACAACGTTTGTAAAACAAGATAACCAACAGCTTAATTGGTGAACCCAAAGCATATGCAGCACTTTTAATGAAGAAAAAAAAAACAATTCACAAAACAGCAAATAAATTAAACTTGTGCAACAATTGCTCTTAAATTATAAATTTCATTAACTAAAAGGAATTGTTCTCCTCTTAAATCAGATCAAATTAAAATAATTTCCTCTAGATACTTATGTATTCTAAGTGGAAATATTTGGTTCAGTTGGCTAACTTTACATAAAGTACAAATATAATATTCAAATTAGCCAAGTGAATTCATCCATCTAACCCATTGGCTGAGATTTATTCCTTTGTCAACAGATGAACATAATGCCTAACTCGAAACAAATCAAAAGTACATCACGTAGGTACCGAATTATACTCATGTGATCAGTTTGGTATACTGCATATGGTAGTATACCTGAAGGATATTAACAACATACTGCCAGTCAAAATTAAACTATGAAAACACGAAGAAAGCTTTTCAATTGCTTTTCCATATCTGAACACATGTGATTGCTACTACATAAACATGCGAGTGCATGCAAGCAGGTGTTTATGCATGATCAGGTGCCTATACTGAATATGTAAATGTGCCTATCATGATCAGGTGCCTATACTGAATATGTAAATGTGCCTATATGTGTAGAAAGAATAAATTTTGATATTAAGCTTATAAAATCTAGCATTTGTCACACTACTTGCTGATGATTTACAAAGTATTTGAAATAAATACCGTATCAGGTATCCTTTTCCCCAAAACAATGGTTTTGGAATAATCCCAAAACAGTTTATTAACAAAATTAAGGAAATTTGTAAGTTTTTTTTTCTATAAAGGATTCTACCTAAATTTTAGTTCAAAATAACTGCAAGTCAATGGAAACTTCACATTTTTTTACATAAATTATCACTGGCAAATTTGATGTAGATGTAAAAAAATCACTATTTACCAATTTTATGCATGCATTTAACCCTTTAATAGCTCAGCTAATTAAGTCTTACATCGTAGTGTGCCTAACAAAACATAGTTCACAAAACAATTGCATTTGGCAATTCAAGCACAGGAGGAAATTGCAGAAGGCACTTGGACCCGTTTAGGGTCCAGATACGCTCTCATAAAAACAAACACATCTGATGTACAGTATTAATAATGTCAACTCCTTAAACATTACCCAATCTATATTTTCTTTATAATAATATGATTAAAATGAAGTAAATATGATGCTACAACATACATTTAATTGTTGAATGCTGGCTATTTTCAATATTTACTATTAATGCTTCAAATATTTGACCATTGTAAGAATAAGACTTAGTTTCATGATACACTCCAAATACAGTACAATTACAACAACAAAAAGAGGGAACTTCACAAATTATCAAATGGAAAAACATCATAAAAGAACATTAATCAGCAAAAGTGATGATTGGCTTAGTACTGACCTCCCCGAGCAGCTCTTAGAGAAACAGAGCCGAAAGATCCCAGGTCCGTCACAGGACAAATGTTTGAGTGTTTGGGAGCTTTTCCTTTTGCCCAAGCTCACCCAGCAGCAAATAGATACCCGAGAGTTGGGCAACAGGCTTACTGTTGTCCAACAATGGGAAACTAGTAAAAATTTGTGTATAAACAAAAAGGGAGTGAAAATCTCAGGGAAAGACATCCCTGTATATCAGGGATAATATACAGAGACGTGTCAACTATAATTTTTCAAGTGTGAAGCTTATGAATAGACACGGTCTACTATTAGGAAAGCCTATTTTACATAAAATGATTAACAAAAACTAACATAACTAATACATATGAATTTGTTCAACTCTCCAACTCAAAAAATATCCAGAATTAAGACAGACACTACCAAGCAGACTCACGTGACTTTCATTTCAAAGCTGAATGTGATTCAGTTTATTGCGAGTTGTAGTTTACATACAAATTATGACGATATCTAGTTTAATGTGTCATAAAACTACAACAATAAAATATTAGCCAAAGCACAACAGCTATAAAATGAAACGACATGTCAAATCACAACACCTGAAGATGTAATTAACACAACTTGAAATCAATGGAGTCTTCATTAATGCTTGTGACCAACAAGTGCATGCCTCATTAATGAAGCGGTAAAAATCTCAAACGTTTACATACATTACTGGCAATCCCATTCCCCACTTTCATGAGGTGGAAGAAAATATTATACTTGTAACACAGTATTGCAAATCAAAAATACCAATAAACACCAGAGGAAAAAAAGGGAGTACTTAAACAATTATTTGGTTTTTAAACCCTTTTTTGTATTTGTTTAGCCTTCTATAACATCAGTAAAATAATTTCATAGCCATAATATAATATAAACATACAATTACAGTTTGCATACTTTTACTGCATTGTAATGTCATTAAATAAAGTGCTACCAAAAAACTCTCATCACGAGTATAACATCCATACTTACACACACACATATTTATATACCTCCCTGCAATGTCATCACTGATCGAGTACACATGCGTAATGTTTTAACACTACTCAATTCTGTCCTTCCTCTAGCGCCACCTCCACCTGAGCCTCTACAAAGAAGGGACCCTGGCGGTAGAACTTCTCTAACTGCTCCATGTGATATTCTGTGAAGATGCTACTTGCTGATGGAGACTTGACAAGTGTTTCTACAATAGTCCACTTTGCCTCCTTACCTGGCTTTTCAGATTCTGTTTTTCGATCAAGTATATATTCAATAAGCCCTGAAAGAAAAAGAAAAACCATGAGAACCTTCTCAACAATAATGAATGAGATTATACTGTTGAGAATAACCAATCATAAATCAGCCCAGTATAATTTTAATGTGTATATAACACTATATGACAGATGGAACAATATATATACTGTACTTCACTTTAAAAGCCAACATACTTAGAAATTTGACTATTAAACATAATATTGTAGGCAAGAGTTTTAGACACTATGCATACATGCAGGTTTGCAATATTATGTAACTCGCTTAATAATACAGTATTACCAATTACCACTCAAAGACAACTGAAAAGGAATACAAAAATATTCAAGATGAAATCAGTTATTTAGCTACATTTCACTCAACCCCACAAATGATACTGACTCTGAGGAGTTGCAGAGTTTCTCCTGTAGGAGTTTGACTCTCCAGGCTCCCCTCACCTCATAATAGTGAACCAGATTCTCCGGTTTCTAGTTCTTGGCAGAAGACGGATGGGTCTTGAGAGGCCCAGTGTGTGGAGCCAAGACTTGGTTGTACCAGTATATAAGCACAGGGAGTTACAAGGGGCCCCTCTGAGACAAATTGCTGGTGCTATCACATTTTTGTTTTATATTTAATATTATATTTGTATTATTTCACAGAATAGAACATGCTTTTGTGCACATTTTGATATCTTAATCTGCAAACAGGACTTTTTTTTTTAATATTTGGTTGAGCCTTTTTACTGGGTAAATACCCACCAGTAGCTCAATGTACTTAACACTGGGGTGCCAGACTCATAGTGACTAGTTCACCCAGCTGATGACATGTCCTTGTAAATCGTCCTGCACCCTAAAGGGGCAGGGAGCACATGGGGATCGCAGATTAACCCACTACTGTGCCGACTTGATAATTTGCCAGGACAGACCAAAACATCATTGCTTCTTCATTTTCTGACGAGTGGTTTAGTTATCGTATCTTCACCCAAGTTATTGTGACTCCTCGTCTGCATACTGAGATGTACCTTCACAAAAATACTATACAATTATAAATTCAAAATTCTTAAAACTTCCTCAAGGGCATGTATTAGCAACACTGAATCATCAAAAAAGGCTCCGAAACAGCTCGCCTGTGAGTGGCGACTAGTCAAGGCTCAGAGAGGCCTTCACAGCTAACCTTTTGGCTATTTTTAGGACTGGCATGTTTGCCATTTACATTATGTGTCTCCTCCTGCTTACATGTGCCTGTTTCCACTTTGGTTCAGAATGTTCTTCCCTGATTCTGTTGACTTCAGTTTTACTGTATGTCCCTCAGGGTTTTAGACCCTGTTCATTTTCCTGAATATATAACACTTCTGGTTCAAGTTCTTCTTCCTCCTCGGGTATGCTACGTGTTTTCAGTTGTCCCTTGTGCTAGCAGAGCACCCTCATTATGCAGTTTGTGAGGTGGAAGCTGGTCAGATAATGTTAGTCATATCAGGCACGTATCTTTTGGTTGGATCGAATCTGGCCAGATTAGGTTATGTTGGTCTAGACCTGGCCAGAGTCAACACACACACTAACTTTGACAACTAAATAAAAGTATACAGTAGACTCAAACATAGCATTCACACTCTCCATACCTGGCTCACGACAAATGAATCGTTGACCCCATGGCATGTTGGCCAATGCATTTATTAGTCCAAGGGCAGGACAGTGTATATCTGTGAATGGCTGACGAGCAATAGCCACTAACTTCTCTAGGTTCATCCCACAAACACTTGCCCACCACATCTCCAACAAGCCTGTCAAATCTTCTGTCTGGTATTCTACCTGTAGGAACATAAACAAAATGCATATTTCCTGATGCCGTTCAAGTCCCTTTGGAAATATGTATTATCTGTTAAACATACCACATTTACAGGATTTTCTATGCTAAATAAAAATATATCAAAGAATAACCTTGACAAACACTCACTATCCACACAACATTGTAAAATAGAAAACAAAATTTACCTCTAATGTGAAGAGATGAACAAGAGCCTCTAGGGCACATACACGCTGCTCAGTGGGAGCCACTCGCATCTTTGAGCCTAAAACATCCAAGACTTCCTCTATTTCTGTCTCTGAGAAAAAATGCATCGCGGTTAATGAAATGATACGTTATTTGTAGTTTCTTGATAGCTCCTGTTGCTTAAGGCTCTGGTACTTTTGCAGAGATTTTCAATTGTATTAGTCCCACAAAGTTCTGGCACAATCTACCAGACACCAGGAGCAGAATCTGGTTCACTTTCAGAAGTGTGAGCAACCTACAAATCAGAAATCAACACAAAACCAAGAAAACCTTTCAAAAATTATCAGCAAAGCAAAACAAACTACTGCTCTTAATAAGAAAGAGTCAAGAAACAAGGCAAACAGTCTATACTAGTTTCTGGAAACTGGCCTATTGTATAGATGTAACATACTCATACAGAGATAGAGTCCAATGCTCCAGATATAACACACTGAAGTTGATAGCTTCCTCCCACAATATTGCTACAGTGTGTATGAATGTGTAAAGTGTTCAAATTTACTCAAGCACTACTCAGATACAGAGAGAAGTAATAAAATATTTGCTTATACAAAAAGATTTGTAATAGGCAAGTGTGTTAACTTTTCCTAAAATAAAGAGTTGTCTAATAAATTTCATAAACAAGAATCGATACACAAAGCATTGACCCATGAGCAATGAATAATCCCAAGAACACCAACATCACTTAGCTGAAAGTAGCAGAGAATGGTTCCTACAGGTGTAATGCAATTCAATCAATACCAGACACACTAGTTAGGACTGTGGCAGACCAGGGGCCAGATTCACGAAGCAGTTACGCAAGTACTTGCAAATGTGTACATCTTTCCTCAATCTTTGATGGCTTTGGTTACATTTATTAAACAGTTTACAAGCATGAAAACTTCCCAACTGTCGTTATTGTTATAAACAGCCTCCTGGTGCTTTGAAGCTCATTAACTATTTAATAATTGCAAAGCTGCCAAAAATTGAGAAAAGATGTACAGGTTTGTATGTGCTTGAGTAACTGCTTCATGAATCTGGCCCCAGGACCCCAAGTGACCTGTGTCGCCATCTAGTAGCAGTTAGGAGAGTTGAAGCTAAGGCTGACAACTATCATTTGCCTTGTTTCTTACCTTTCTTTGCATATTAAGACATGTCTTGTTCTGTTTTACCCTGACTCTCTAGGTGGTTCTATCAGTCTTGGGTCAATCTCTGATCCCCTTGCTTCTCTTGCCTCAGAGAGAGTGCAAGAGATTACAAAGGCTCTTTTCCCATGGGTATCTGACAATGTGAAAATCTGATGACTGACAGAGCAAAAGCTAGGAGAGCTACTGAAGGGGGGCTGCCCAGAAAAGTAATATTTGTAAATAATAAATTTATCAATTACTTGAAAGAAAAAGGGAACAAGTTCAGAACACCAGACAAATGTGTATTTATGCCCTCCAGGCCCATTATACCAACCAACAGGTTAAAAGCATGTGATTTTATGATGGAATAAAAAGTGGTGTAGTTATACTGTATATACAAATATTGCACTAGTGACTTACTGAACTTAGCCAGTGCAAATTTGCCCTCGGGAGAACTTCCAATGTGTGCCACTGTTTGAATGGCTACCATCTGCAGTGTTGAGTCGCCAAAATCTAGGGACCCTGATGCCAGACGAAGGACCATTACAACCACAGAACTGTATTCCTCTATCATCTGTCGTGGTCGAGAATGGCCCACATTTCCAAAGAATTTGATCAATCCTGAGAGTAAATGCAATACAGTACTGTTTTTTTAATAAAATTACAGTATAAAACATAAAAGAAATTATGGCTACTAAAACAGAAGTTCAACATAGACTAAAACAGGATATTCAATATAAAATACAAATGTCATGACTAAAACTTGCTAGAAATTTTAAACACAGTGAAACATACTGTAAAACACAAGAGATGCAATAGCTTGTGTGCAAGATGATGACATGATACAAACACTAAGTGTTCCACAAAGAAGTGACTGGTCAGTATTCTATGAAAAATCATACTGCAGAATACAATAAAAGATACATTGACAGTTTTTTTTTTTATGTTACGCACAAAATTTTGACATAACATGACCCACATCAAACAATGTTGAGCTCCAGTAACAAACCTGGCATAAGAAGTGCAGCCATGGGGTCCCTCTCGGCAAGAGACAGAAGGTACTGAAGCTTTGCAATTACGCCCCCTTGATCCAAGAGAGCCATCCCGCTAGAGTTCAGAGCTAGTGGGGTCAGCAACTCGAGAGCATTCAGTTGCGTAAGGACATCACCAGTTGTGACTTCTTCGGTTAGGCGATCCAGCAGTCCAGAGTTAGACACCACACCCAGTGACATGTCACCCAGGAGACACACTTGTACCACAAACTTATAGGACATAAACTTGATTAGTAGAAGATAGCTTCCCTAAAGTCATCCTAACAATAAAGAATGATTTTATTATTCATATAAAACATCATAAACATATTCCTACTAATAAATTATATATAAAAATACAATAATTTTGGATTTTTATTTATTTATATTCATCTATTTAACTACACGAGAGCTAAAATTTTAGGTCTAAGAGCATAATGAAATCTATTAAGTACTGTACTCGAAACAAACATATCTGCTAGGTTGGTTGTAAAAAAACTACCAAACTTTCATGTAAATCTAAAAATACTGAGCGAAAGCAGTCCAGCAATGCTGTATGTGTTTACCAATCAACAAAATGTGCAATTTTATAAGGTAGAAAAAACAAAAAAATACTAACACTCAAAATGATACAATAATCAGTATAAACCACCAAGCCATCACAACCTCAAATTATGCAAATTATCATTATTAAACACATTAAACACAACACAACTGGTACTAGCTCTCAATAAAGGATGCTCACCTCATAAACAGCAAACCTGCAGGAGTCCGATATTGCCATCACATCCTGCATGACAGTAACTGATTCATTGGAAAATACAGAATTTAGCCCTGCATTTTGAGTGCAGATTTTAACTAAAATATTTGTGGAAACTTTGACTACTCCCAGAGTTTTGTCTCCAAGGCAACCGACAACTGCTAACAGCAGACCTCGATTAGTTATTACCGAAACAATTCCTGCTTCATCTTTTTCTGTGCATAGCAACACCTGGAATATAAAGCAGTTAATATAGAAAAAGTTTACATGCACAATATAGCTATGTACATTGCAAAATTACATGGAAAAAATGGAAAAGTATTTATATGTAATGCCATTTCTAATGCATTTAATAATTAATAATTCATTGTGTCAGGAGATAGGTAGCCTGTTTATTCATATATGTTAGGCTTATATTGAGGCATTCTTCCCAGGGGTGAAATACTGACCCTCCCCAGGATGCAAAACCCACAAGCTAACTCCTGGGTACCTATTTACTGCTAGGTGGAGAGGGGCAGGTGGTGATAGGAAATGTACCCAACCATTTCTGTCCTGCCCGGGATTCAAAGCCAGAATTCTCGATTGAGAGTCAAGAATGAACCCGACTGTACTACTGGGACCCTCTATAGTATTTATAGCATTGTGCTTATGGAAAATCTTGTTTCACATTTCAAACAAATGTTTTACGAACACATTCTCAGAGCGTAGCTCATTCAATCTAGGGAGACTGCCTGTACTGCAAAATGCAAATCTTTTGTATACATTAATTATATTTTCACAACTTAAAAGCTGTACTGTATCTGGTTCCAACATGGAGGTATGCAAATTAAGCTGGTCCTCCAAATACATACCAATAATTTGGAACCATAGGGAAGTCTTAATTTGGGTTAGGATTCGCAATGATAAGTTGTAGAGAAATAAGAAAGCACTTTGTAATTTTTCAAGAGATAAGGCTGTTCTTAATTTTTCCCACATTTCAATGGGACCCTTCTTAGTATCAGACTTCAAAATATTATCTTCAGAGAGAGCAATTAGATACATCTGCAGCATTTTTGGTACCTTGGATACATCAATGAGGCGAGATTGGAAAGCTAACTTCAAAGTGAAATCATGAAAGTGAAAATACAAATAATATACTGTAGAAGAGAGATAAAAAGTATCTTTAAGGAAAAAGATGTATATTTATACAAAATTTGAACTTCATTGAGAAAATTGCAGGCCAAAATACAGCCTTAAGGCCACCAGTTTACCCCCCCCCCCCCTCTCACTAGATGATCAGCAAATGATAACAGCCACATTTTACAATAAAGTTGTGCAGTAACTGGCAACTGTACTCTATGGAAAATACAGTAAGTATCTGGATTCAACACATAAAGAAATCATAGAATTTGAGGTATAAAACAGAACCAACAAAAATAGGTTTGTCCTGTGTTCATAAGCAAATATATAAATAAATATAATATATTATATATATATATATATATATATATATATATATATATATATATATATATATATATATATATATATATATATATATATATATATATATATATATATATATATATATATATATATACACACACACACACACACACACACACACACACACACACACATACACAAAGACTATGTATAAAAATATCAAAGTTTACCTACTTGCTTGAGTACCAAGTTGCGAACTTTCTCATGTGGGTGGTGTAGACCACGCAACAGCTCAGCACTGAACCGTTCCACAACTTCTTGGGCTCTTACAAGAGGCAACAGTCGCCCCAACACATCAACAGCCAATTCAACTTGCTCGCTGTAAGTTACCAGACTATTTATTATGAACTGATATTACTAAATTTCAAAATAAATCATACAAAATGTACCAGTGTTTGAAACGTGTCCCTAAGATTACCCCCTGCTATGGCTGTATACTCAATTATTTTGTATTATATTAGAAAACATAATACATAATAATGTTTGTTGAAAGTTAATTACAGTATTTTGGAAAAGGTATGCAACTTGAAAAGTAGGTTTTCTTTCCCTCATCTATAACTTGATAAAGAATTATAAATAGAACCTATCCCTTATATACAACTTAAATATAAACTAACATATAAAACAAAATCAAATTCCATAAAAATCAAAATTACATAAAATGTTATTTTATGACCAAACTGATCACACATTAATTATACAAATACAAATTACAAATACAAATTTTTATTCAGGTAAAGTACATGCATACAAGGTGAGATACAAATAGTTGATGGATTTATAGATAGAGCTAGTACATACAATGCCTAAAGCCACTATTACGCAAAGCGTTTCGGGCAGCTATTAAGCTATTAGTTACACTACACCAGTAAAGAGCAGTCAAACAAAACCACATCTTCTGCTCTATATTTCTGCATTACTCTACCTCGTGACACTCTCTGAGTGAGGCACAACAATTGTATTTAACATAACACTCTGGCAGTTGGGTTAGGCCGACTGACTCACCCATCAGAGCTGTTGATGCTATCAAAGAGGGCATTTAGCTCCAAATTTTCAGGTACGCCCTGAAGCCGAGAGGCTGATAATGGCATGAGCGTCGCCTTCAAGTCTATCAATTGCTTTTTGGGGTCATCGGAGAGGTTTAACTCGCTTAACAACCGGATGACTTCGTTCATGCTGCCTGCCATCTTTGTAGTTGCGACGACTAATAGTGACGACTCTTAAAATTTTCTTTTTCTTTGGCTAAGCTTTGCTTATTTGAGGCAAAAATATTGTATCAGATTGAAAATAAATATTATTTTAAACTTAACAAAATAATTATATTAATTTGTTTTCTTTAAATGTGCTCCAAATGACAGGTAACAATTGTTCGGCAGTATTAGCCCCAGCACGCCCAGAGACGTAAACATTGAGCTTCACGAGGCATCCAACACTGATTCTTAACTTATACAATACAATACAATACAATACAATACAATTTTATTTAGGTAAGGTACATACATACAATAAATATTTACAAGGAATGTTTCACTTATAGGTATAGCTAGTACATACAATGCCTAAAGCCACTATTACGCAAAGCGTTTCGGGCATGATAAACTTAAATGACAAGCTTAATACTAATTGAGCATAATGAGTAGAATGAAAACAAGAAATGAAAACATAGATGAAAAAGCAGCACAAATACAATTATGTCGACAAACAGCGCTCTTTAAAGAAAAAAACAGACATTGGTTGACAATAGAAGGGTAAGGTAGGTTACAGGGAATTTATTAGGTATAGCTTCGCTTTTAACTTAAACTGGTTGAGAGAGGTACAGTCTTTAACATGGTTGGGAAGGTCATTCCACATTCTGGGCCCCTTGATTTGTAGAGCATTTCTAGTTTGATTAAGTCGTACTCTAGGAATATCAAAACTGTATTTATTTCTGGTGTGATGCTCATGGGTTCTGATACAACCTTCTATGAAGCTTTTGAGATCAGGATTGGCATTATAGTTTAGCGTTTTATATATGTATAATACACATGAGAGAATGTGCAGTGACTTAATGTCTAACATATTCAGAGATTTAAGTAGGGGTACCAACATCACTGTTATGATGAAGTAAAATAATAAAAATAACAAATGACTTTATTTGTGCATTTATTTATTTATTTATTTACTTATTTTATAATATAAGAAGGTACATTGCGCTGTGAGAGTACATAATATTGGTGTTCTTACTTTCTTGCAAAGTTACTAATACTCATGAATGATGATGATGATGATGATTGATGTACATAATCATGATGATCATCATATATTGGTACCATCTGCAACTATTAATACTTCCTTCACCACTGGATTTGGTGGTTATAAATAGGAGCTGCCTCGTATGGGCCAATGGGCCTTCTGCAGTTACATTTATTCCTTCTGGAGTATTTATTTACTTTATTACACCTTGCCTTCCGTACCTATTTGCCTTGCTCTAGGGTTTCTCCTTCCCCTCACCTCTATCTTGCCTATTTATTTCCCTTCCTTCATTAGTTTAATCACAATCGACTTGATAATGGTCCAGGACGAACCGAAACGTCGTCGTCTCTTCAGTTTCTAGAGAACTTCAATTCGTCGTCGTCTCTTCAGTTTCTAGAGAACTCTTCAATTCGTCGTCGTCTCCTCAGTTTCTAGAGAACTCTTCAATTCGTCGTCGTCTCTTCAGTTTCTAGAGAACTCTTCAATTCATCGTCGTCTCTTCAATTTCAACATTTTTCAGCCAGGTCATTCTGACTCTTCATCTGCCACACGTAAGTTTCTTACTCTGTTTAATTTCTTCGATGCTCTACCTTCCTTCAAACTGCCTTTTCCCGCCTTCGAATCTTCCCTTCTTGCGGCCAAACGTCGAAAGAACCAGCTAAGGTTTCTTAAAGATTTGCACAGCAAGTTCTCCCTCTTTATCTCACTTTCTCCAGTTCAACACTACGGGTTCTCCTTTTTCCTGAACCTTGGCACTTTTTCTCCTGCCCACCTTCGTCACTCTCAGGACTTCATAGAAAGACTGCTCCTGCAGCCCTCCTGTACGATGCTTAGTCTTGATGTCGATTCTGTTTACTAATCAATGGTATCTTAATTAGTTAGGGATAGATTAGTACATAATACAGTGATAGGAGAGCAGAGTTAGGTACATAATATCTGATTTTGGAAAGTATGCCAACTGTTTTAGAGACTTTCTTACTTATGTGCTGTATATGGGTGCTGAAGTTGAGTCTCTAGTCTAGGAATAGGCCAAGAAACTTTCCATCATTTTTATTACTGATGTTAACATTGTCTATCTGAAGCTGAATTGCATTTATTGATTTGCTTCCAAATGTAGTAGGTCTTTTTTATGTTTAGTGTTAGTTTGTTGGTTGACATCCATAAGTGGACTTTTTTCATTCATTATTCACAACATTATTTAATGTGTGTGGGTTGGGGTCTGAGTAGATGAGAGTAGTATCATCAGCAAACAATATAGGTTTAAGAATGTTAGAGACATTAGGCAGATCATTGATGTATATAAGAAATAGGAGAGGACCTAAGATGCTGCCCTGTGGCACTCCAATGGTTAATGGTAGAGTGGGAGAGGTTATATCATTGATGGCTACACATTGGTGTCTATCACTAAGATAGGATTGGATATAGTCCAGGGCAAGGCCTCAAATTCCATAATGATGAAGTTTAAGTAAGAGGTAGTTGTGATTAACAGTATCAAAGGCCTTTCTCAGGTCAATGAAGAGTTCAATCGGAAACTCATTTTTGTCAAGGGCTGAATAGATTATATCAAGGAGACTAATAATTGTATCGTCGGTACTCTTTTGGGAATGGAAGCCAAACTGACAGGGGCTGAATGTTTCCCCTTGATGAAGTTCTCTCTTTCCTTAGACAGGCGACTGCATTGAGGGCCTTCTTCCTTTCCCCTCTTCCCACTTAACATTTTCCTCGAACTCATTAGAGTCAACACTAGAGTCGTGTTGACTCTAACTCTTTCTCTTTCAACGGTAAATACTACTCACAAACTTTCGGTGTCGCTATGGGTTCCCCTCTGTTCCCTGTTATTTCCAATCTCTACATGGAATACTTCGAAACTGTTCTTCTTCCTTCTATTGATACTTATCCCTCTCTCTGGCTTCGCTATGTTGAAGATATTTTTGCTTTATGGCCTCATGACCTTAGTTTTTTCCAGCCTTTCCTCTCCTTTCTTAACAATCTGGCTCCTTCCATCCATTTCAAAGTTGAATGGACATCTAATTGCCTTCTTCCTTTTCTTGACGTTCGCAGCTCTGTGTCCAGGTTCTCTTTCTCTGTTTACCGCAAACCCATGCATAGTGGCATCTACATTCACTTCTTTTCATTTCTTTCTTCTGTTAAAAAAAGTGTCCTCGTGTCTCTTCCTCCACGCTCTACGCATCAGCGACCCTCAGTTTCTTGATTCTGAAATTTCCTTTATCTTAAAATCTTTAGTTACCCCTTTACACTTTATCAACTGTGCCTATTCTCACGTTAAACGCTCTTAAACAAAATTTCTTGACTACTAAACCTGCTTTCAACACTAGTAGCACTGTGCTTGCTCTGCCTTCCCTTCATATCCGAACTTTTACTAATGCCTTTCGTCCTCTTGACATAAGCTCGCCTTTCGACAAACTAACGCTCTTCGTAGCAATCTAGTTCACACTGCTCCTCCTGCTTGCTGGTGTCTACTCAACATCTGTTTGTCCTGTTCTCTCCAATACTCGTCCTCTCCAATATGGTGAAACTGGCCGTACACTCAATGACAAACTTTAAGGCACACATACGAAGTGTAAAGTCTGCAGACACAAATAATGCTCTCTACTGTCATGTTAGGGATTCCATTCATCCTACTGATTGGTCTTCCTCCAAAATAATGTTTCCTGCCTCTACTCTACAGAGGCATGAAAGATTATTAAGTACTTTCCTGCCTCTACTCTACACAGACGTCGTCTTGTCAAATCGGCTCTGATACACAACCTACCCAACATGAACCTGAGTCCTGGTTTTGTTGCTGTTGACTCTTCCTTTTCACCGTAGTTAGTTTAGTTCATTTATTATGCACCCCATACCCATCTTGTGGGCGGCAGTGGAAAGTGTTACAGAGGCACATAATGGGCTCAGGGACTGAACCCCAAAATTCATTTAGCTAAGCTGCAATCGTGATGAGCTGGTTAGAAAATTCAATACACATCATCAATGGGCTCGAGATCGACCATTATATTAAGCAGGTATTACGATCATTTATATGAGGAAATCTCAAAGTGCGGAGATGTACAGGAAGTGTGTTGGATGAGGAGGGCGGTGGAGGTGCCAAGACCAGCTGCTGGGTCTCTCTTCGTCAACAACACAACAGCTCCAGTTACTGTAAGCTGCCACCACCTGTACCACCTCGCTCAGCTGATTACCGACGCATGTAAGCTTAGTCTGTACAGGGTGTTTACTGTTGAAGGTGATGGTAGCATTGTCCGATAATTTTTTTTTTTTTAATGGTAATCATATTTTGGTTTGCATGGGACCTTAGTCCAGGCGTCAGCTATGGGGTCTGTAAGTTCCTTTCTTATGTTAAGTATCTGTAGCAGTCGTATTTGCCCAGAGTGGTTTGGTCAAGAGACGTTAGTAGTGTCGTGTTGTTCTATGTACAGATGTAATAGGACCCATTATCACCACACAAGAAATAAATATCTCTTTGATATCCCCAGGGTCAAACTTAATCTGTGTAAACACTTGATGCAAATTGAGGGACCTAGTCTATGGAACTCACTCCCTAGTGAATTGAAAAGCTGTCAAATTTTTGCCTCATTTAAAAACAAAACCAAAAAGTATCTAATTTCATCTTCGTAGTTTCCTACGCGGAGCTTTAAATTTGCTCTGTATCTAGTGTTACCCAATCTTTATGTACTTAATCCAAACAACTTTATCATTGTGTTCATTGCTGTCTTCTTTTATGTGTTTACTAGTTGTGTTTTTACGGGGGTTGAGCTTTTTTGCTCTTTCGGCCCGCCTTTTATGTGCTAGCCATATGCTGTATTGTGCCTTCTAAGTTTTGTTAAACTACCATTCAAGCTGTCATTGCAATCATTCTGAGCTACCTATGTGCTTTAATACACCTTACAATTTTTCTCTCATCTTTTATTTTTTTTCATGCTATGTAACTGTTATCATTTTTATAAATTTTGCAAGTATTTACCTACTGATAAGTTTCTTAGATTAAGGACCTGCCCGAAACGCTGCACGTACTAGTGGCTTTACAAGAATTTTATTACTATGCTATGTATCCTCACAATCCCAATGTACCTTCTTGTATATATATAAATAAATAAATAAATGTAGGGACTTTCTATGTAGGGATAGGAAGATTATTTTAGTCTTTTATGATTAAAAAAATTTTTATGTTTTAAGTTTTTTTATGAGGTGCTCCCTGGGCCAACTACAGACCTTCTCAAGCATGTAGCCTTCAACAGTTGCTGAATGCCTGGGTTCTTGTTTATTGCTAAGTGAACAGAGGCATCGAGTGAAAGTAAATGCTACTTAAGCGCTTCCGTCCTTCTGCAGGCATTTAACTCTGTATTTTGGGTTTGAGTTTGTAGAACCATTGTAAAAACACATTTTTGATGCCCAAGTATATTTTGGAAATGTTTTTTTGTCTTGTGTATGTGAAGCTATACAAAAGTATTATGTGCTAACATATACTGTGCTTTAAGTGCTTAAAGCTATCCACTATTTGTTTTTCCTTTAATGTTTATCTTATGCCATGAATAAATGTTATAATGTATATATACCTGATTAAAGAATCAGGTGAAGTCAAAGCAAGGATTTTTTTAAACATTTTCTATTACAGGGACTTCGAAATATTCTTGAAATGGACAAGCAGAAGGCTAAAATTTTATTCAACCTTCTCCGATCCAGCTCTAATGAAAAAGTTGTCAGAGGTTTACGAGAAATCAAGAAAAGGTTACTGACAAGCAAAGACAATCTGGGGATTTTCCGGTAAGTTGTGGCACCAGACAAAAATAAAATGGCGAGTACAAAAATTGAATCCATTCTGGTTGGCTTCCGTTTGTATGTTGGTCAGGGATCTAGGGCCAGATTCACGAAGCAGTTACGCAAGTACTTGCTAACGTGTGCATCTTTCCTAAATCTTTGACAGCTTTGGTACATTTATTAAACAGTTTACAAGCATGAAAACTTCCCAGTCAACTGTTGTTATTGTTGTAAACAGCCTCCTGGTGCTTTGGAGCTTATTAACTGTTTAATAATTGTAAACAAAGCCGCCAAAGATTGAGAAAAGATGTACAGGTTCGTAAGTGCTTGCGTAACTGCTTCGTGTATTTATTTTATATTTATTTTACTTATTTATTTAGTAACATTTAAAATATTTATTTATTTTACCTTTTATGGCATAAATTTTTGCAAGATTCTCGAGCTTTTTAATATGAAACAAATGAGCTATTTTATTTCAATACTTAACAAAATGTTATATTATGCAGGAGCCTTGGCCTAGTTCCACAGACACTGAAACTAATTCAACGACCAAATGAAGACATTCTTAATGGATCTCTGAGTATCTTGAGTGGCTGCTGCGCAGATGAAGCAGTCAGAAGTGAAGTGAGTTTCTCCCTTTTGACAGTCAAGTTATCCTTGCTTTGAATCTGTTACTTTATATGGATTAGTGGAGGGCAGTGTGTGGATGGGTGGAGGGCAGTGTGTGGATGGGTGGAGGGCAGTGTGTGGATGGGTGGAGGGCAGTGTGTGGATGGGTGGAGGGCAGTGTGTGGATGGGTGGAGGGCAGTGTGTGGATGGGTGGAGGGCAGTGTGTGGATGGGTGGAGGGCAGTGTGTGGATGGGTGGAGGGCAGTGTGTGGATGGGTGGAGGGCAGTGTGTGGATGGGTGGAGGGCAGTGTGTGGATGGGTGGAGGGCAGTGTGTGGATGGGTGGAGGGCAGTGTGTGGATGGGTGGAAGGCAGTGTGTAGGGCACTGGGTGGTGTGTGTGTGTGTGTAAAAGTTGTGTATGTGTTGCTTGGTGGGTGGTGGCTGGATCTGAGTCAGGTCTGGGGAATGTGCTGGGATGGTGGGATATGTATAAAAGCAGTTTATTTGAAGGTATGGAAAAATGCTAGACTACCTTTACTGTTTTTGTATCTATAATGAAAATATTTAGTGTACAGGTACATAAAATTATTTTAAAATGGGGGAAGCTTATGTTCAATTCAAAAGATGAAAGCATTGTATTTTTTGGAATATATTAGTTCTTAATACGTAATTTATTGTAAATGCTTTTCTAATTCAAGAACACTACAGTATTTGTTGTATGGGGTTTTCCAGGAGGGCCTTCCGTCAGTAACTCCTTGAACTAAGTATTGGTTCAAGCCCTTGGTACCAACCAGCACCAGGCCTCGGAGACCTGTCCTTGCCTACAGGGAGATAGGATCAGAATCTGCCTCTCTCTCTCTGAAGTGAAGAGAGATTGAGAATTGATAATATACCCAAGGCAGCTAGGAAACAATCATTCTGAGGGTTCCACCAGAAAAAGGGCATTTCATTAGTCAATGCTTCATTTGTGTTATGTAATTATAAAGTTTAATTGCACAGTCTCCTTTTTAACTACAGATTAGTTAATGCATTCTCTACACTTTCAGGTATACAATGTTGGTGGCATAACTCATCTACTAAATGTACTGAAATGTGCCAAGTCAGAGTCCCTACAGGTGCGTGCATGCAAGACAATAGCTAACCAGGCACAGCACAAATCCAGCTGTGATGTATTATTTAAGCTGAATGCAATTGATGTAGTCATTGAGATGCTAACGAAGTGTAAGGAAGATGAGACCAAGATACATGCTATTAGGAACTTAAGGTAATTGAGCTTTTCATAATTTGTATTGCATTACACTGTATATAGTACAGTTATTCCATATAATACGGGGCAACTTTATTCAACTTTTATTCAACGTGACTTTGATCTGGGAATCTATAGGTTGTGTACAATGCAGCCACTTGCTGGCAGTCAGTGCAGGTGCCCAAGCAAGTTAGTAAATACTCCAATTTTAGTGGTCTCCTGTTATGTCAAGGGATTGTTCAGAAATGCTTTTGGTTTTATGAATGATACCTCTGTCAATCATTCTGTGTCGGGTTTTGTTGTTCTCCAGTTTTCTTCTTAAGTGTATTTAATGACCCTGCAGGGATGCTTGAGAAGTTGTTATTGGTGTTAGTGCCAAAATATTAGTCTGACTGTGCATGGTCCTGATCATATATGGCACAGTGGATCCTTCCCTTTGGGAAGCAACAAAGTAATCTGTGTAGAAAGGTGCTTTTCATATTTACTTAATGCATTATCTTTTAGCCAAATTTGGCCTGGTTAAACTTAGAGAAACAAACCCAGATTTATCAGGTTTGTTAATTCTCCACACACTTCTACTTAACTATAGTTCAATGTTGTGGAATTCTGAAGTATCCTTTCTGCTTCTCTATCGCGTTGACTCCATTCATGTAACCTTCAAATGGCATTCCATTGTCAGGCACAGGGAACCTGTTTGGTTTATCAAAGAACACCTTGCCAAAGCAAGGTTGTTCACACTGCCAACTAAATAATGAATGTGCTAGCCACATTTAGCAGTGTGTAACAGATTGATCTAGTGACGTGCACATCATGCTCTGCACCATCTAAAGGAGATGGCAGAAAGCTCTCCCTTTTCCAGGGGTAATGGTGTTTCATAATTATCAACTTAATTCCACAAAGTTCTCTCTCAGGGGTATGTTGCCATGCCTTTCTCTTCTCAATAGTTTGTCTGTTGGCTAGAGTCTGTGTCTGAATAAATTATTAGTATCTATATCTGTTTCTTCTAGAGGTATCTTGAATAATAGGCACTGACAAGTCTCTCAAAGTCTTTCAGGATAGCCCAAGCACTTTTATTTTATGTCGTCACACAATTCAGCCACAAGACTTGTTACTAGGTAAAAATTGAAAATAACTATACACAGCCAAGATGAAATCACCTTGTCTCTGATGTTGGCTGCAGGTTAAATAATTTTCTGTAATCTTCTTGCAATATGATTTTCTCCCCACCTTCTTGTCGATACAGTACTTCCGAATTGGTTGGCTGGACACATTTCGTGTGATTATTCTATTTGTAATTAGAGATAAACTTTATTAGTCATGTTTAGGATTTCATATATGGATAAACTTTAGTACAGTACTAAGATTGCACTCTCATTTGTACTAAATACTCAACAATATAAAATATACAGGGTTGACAACTTACTCAGAACACAGTAGATATACATGTGGTTTGTACAGGGGGTGGAGGAAAGTTTGCATGAATCGCCATGGCCAGAAGAATGTTGTGGCCATTTGGAGTTATGTAATATTGGGTCAACAGTACAGTACTGTTGGGTATTAAACATGAACAAGCATGAAGTCCTAAGAATTTATTTCTCATTCAGGATGTTGGCCAACAATGGGGAGCACTGCCAAAAGATTGTGATGAGTAAGGGCATCCTGCACATCTGCTCTGCTGGATTTGGTTCTGCTACAAATCCACCGAGTTCTGATCTTCTACGTTCTACCATAAAGGCCATAGCTCATTTCTCACGGGTATCCCATCCAGCATGTGTGAGTCAGGTAAGCTGCTGAGTAAGGAAGGATGAATTAAGAGTAGTCTTTAAATCGGCCAATAAAGTGTAAACTTGAGTTAGTTTCGTCATAATCTATAAACTAAAAAAAAAAAAGGTAAGGAAATGTTGAATGTTAACAATATTTTATGCACTATGGGTTTAATTTTATGTAATGTGTTTATCTGGCATTATAGAGGAAGTTTTAATGCTTTATGATGCATACAGTACTGTGTATGAAGAGCTTATATGTGAGGTTAGATATTAAAGGATGTATCCAGTTGATATCTCCTTGCCTTGCAGACTCGTAGCAATGCCAATCTCTAGAATTAATTTTTTGTTGTCATATAAAAGAGGAACTATAAGTTAAATATAATCTTAACAACACTAATTCACTAAAGAATACTTTAGTTTTATTGCAGTTTGAATATTTTTTCAAAAGCAGTAAATTTTGTATTCATATTGTATTTTTACTGAATTTTGTTCATCTGGGGGGATTCATCTTATATTATTTCAGTTATCTATTTACAGTATTCATTCCTTTTATACTAAGATTGCTTCTCATATTTACAAATTCTAAACTCTCCAGATTTTTTTTATCATCACAACTCCTGCTATTTTGACTCCCTTTCTCAAACATTTTCAACATCTATTTATCATTATTATTACTTATATAATTTACATATACTTGCTAGTTCTTTTTATCCCCATATGCATTAATATACTCTTGGAAGTTCCTTCCATCAGAACAGTGTCTTCACTGTAGTTACACCTTGCAGTATTTTCACTTTCAAATCTCCCCTTTTAACTTTCCATTACTTCCAACTGGAATATTGTATATTGCTTGCCTAGGCCTCTTTTATTACTTTGTAAAACCATTGAACAGCTATAATAACATGAGTATCCTATCTTTTCTGAAGCCCAGATTGCACTAGTAATTCAGTTCTTGTGTCCATTCAAAGGCGCTGATATTTTTAATTATAACTATCCCTTTTGTTAGCTTTCAATGTATTTCATTCCATGTTGTGGGCAATATTTCTGTTATCATCTAATACCAAATAATAATAATAAATATCTTTCAGATAATGGAAGGGACTGATAACATGATGACGGTGTCAAAAATGTCGGCCAGCCCAGATTTGGAAATTTACGAGTGTATTCTGCGAACCATTTTAAACATAGTGCAGACGTGTTTTGAGAAGACCACATACAAACGAGATTATCTGGATGTCGATGTTATTGATCGTCTCTGCACTGCTCGTGCTCCTAAAATCATTTTGACCGAGATTCAGAATAGAAGAGTGAATAGCATTGGTAAGTCAGATGGTATAATTAATTTGATTGATTTGATGGGATGCCTTTTCATGGAATTATCATAATAAATCTGCAAAAATAATAAATATTATGACACAGGAGCTTTGTATTACTGAAGTTACTTTTGGGTTTCAGAAGAGGAGAAGCTTATATTGGCACTCTGCAAGTTTTGTGAAGGACCAAGTGAATGTAGCAACTTTGCACATGGCACACTTTCTGAACCCCCAACTTTTATGGGAAGGGCCTGGATGCAGTTGCTAGAGTGTGGAGGTGCAGCGATGCTCGTCTCTCTCTTGATCACTCATCGCCATCACGAAAAACTCCGACCAGCTATCTTGAAAGCCATACTTGGTGTAGAGTACAATTACTCATTTAAAGATACAGTAGGTTTCTGTTTCTTAGCACTGTTATGAAGTTTATTCATTCATTAATGACATAACATTTCAATTTATTGAGAATGTCACTGAAAATATGCAGTATTATTCTAATGTTCAGCTTCTCATTTATAAGTGATTCACTTAATTTACAGGTTCTAAAGCACTTTCTTGCTGCCAAACTTCTGCCCCAACTTGCTGAACAGTTTGATGAGCTAATGGCTGAGTACAGGAAGGTACGCAGAGACTCCAAACCAGGAAGCTGCGTTCACACACTTAAGACTGACTCCTCGGATATGGAAAATGAAATGGAAGAAAATGAAGAAAAAATTATAGAAGATTCGGATAATAGTAAAAAGGATGATATGAAAAGAAATGAGGTAAATGGTGAAAAGATCCAAGTTCAGAGAGTGAAAGGAAATGGAGATTGCAATGTAGTTAAAAAGTGCATTAATCTTAATGAAAGTGTTCCGCAGGTTTCTCCTACCTCACCAGAGCCTATGATTAAGGGTTCCTCAAATAGTGTATCTAGAACTTCTCAAAGTGAAGTGCTTGATCCAACTCCCAGCTCTTCCAGTGGTGAAGAATTAACATCACATGTAACAGCTAAACAACTTAAAACACATATGGAGATCTTCCAGCAGAAGTCATTACCTAGTAATTCACATGCCAGAGAGTGCACCAAAATCTCAGTTGATGCCTTTGGTGCTGGTTCTTCAGAGAGCTATTGGTTAAATAACCCTCGAAGTCCTGGAATTCCTGACTACTATAATCCAAAGAGTCCTGGAAGTTTGTCGTGTTCCCCACGAAGTAATCATTCTGGCTCAGGATCAAGTCAGTGTTCCCCTACGTGGTCTCCAGCTCAGGAACGTGGTGAATTGCCACAGTTTTCACCTCCAAGTGGCTCTTCTCTTCAGAGTAATGTATTGAATGTACCTCCTTGGCCTATTGACTTTGTTTCTTCATCAGCTCCAACGTCTCCATATTCATCACCGCCACATTCTCCCTTGATCCGCTCCCCACGGCGCTCCACATCGCCAATTAAATTTCCTTTAGATTGGGAGTACAATGATGAGGCTGAAATAGAGCATTCAGATGATGATGGAAGATTCTCCCCTTCTATACTTGATGCAAAGGGTCATGACGATCATGAGGACAACAAAGAAGAAACAGATATATTTGAAGAGGAAAATTTAATCAGCACTGATGATGATAACACTCAAGAGGGAGGTGCCAGCAGTATTGTACCAAATATTGGAGAGAGGTTAGTTGATGATTCATTTACAAATAACACGCAAGAATTTGCCAAAGATATTGATGAAAAGTTAGTCATAAGTCCTACAGTTGGAAAAAGGTCGAGAGATTCTAGTCCGAGTTGTTTAACTGTAGGTACACCTCATGGGAAGAAAGTAAAATGCGAGTCAGAAATGTCGAACATTACAGAACCTCTTGAGAAAAATACAAACATTCTTTCCAGCAGAGAAGTTGAAATGGATGAATGTCAGTTATCTTCAGGCATTGTGTCTTCAGAAAAGGAAGCAGGAAAAGGGGCACTAACAGGAGCCGATGGAGGTAAATCTCCTTTTATACGTCTTAACCAAATCAAGTTTCGTGTGAGGAAGAGAGGGCTTGTCAAACGTCAAATCAGCTATCCTGTGGGAGAGACTAAGAATGAAGCCTATAGCTCAGTGGAGGTTAGATAATAATCATTTCATTGTTCATAGTTTTAAAAGTGCATATGACATTTAAAATATTTTCTTACAATAATGACTCTTTGTTCATATTTGAATGCCATGCAAGGTACTGAAATTAATATTGCTTTGCTGACCAGACCATACACTAGAAGGAGAAGGGACGACTTCGCCCTTTCTCCTTCTAGTGTGTGGTCTGGTCAACATACTTTAATCACGTTATTGTGACTCATCGTCTGCTTAATATTGCTTTGCTTTAATCCCATTTCTGGCAGATATTCTCTCCCACCATGACAGATATTCTTTTAGATATTTTGTTTATTTTTTTGTGCCTTGGTCTTGAAGTAGAATTGTACATAATACTTGATAAAGGCTATAGAGGTGTTATTTATAGATGCATGAGAGTAGGTGAAATGTGACTTCATGGAAAAATCTATTTTGAATGATGGAATAGAAAGTGAGAATTCATTTGGGCTGAAGGGCAAGAATAAAAGTTAAGGTGGCTAATGACAAAACTAAATAATTTTGCTGACTGCTAGTGGTTTTTGTATTTCTAGAGTGGTCTTGGAAGTGTAAAAGATAACTATGACTGATCTCTTTGAGAGATGTTTCCACTTAGAACGGCCTGCTTGATGGTACATAACAATCGACCAGATTTAAGCATGCAAGTACAACCTTGTACTGTAGAGGCCTACTATTAGGCTTATTTGACTAGCTCAGGTATTACAGAAATTACCTTAAACAAAACAAAATTATATATAGTTGGCCTCCTTCTTCAGTTTAAAGTGTGGGGAGCATGCCTTAGAATAATTAAGCAGTGTAGGGAAGAATATTACTTGTATTATTAATTGTTTTCTTGCACCTTAATATTCTAGGTGGTAGAAATGGGCCCGGAAGAGCAGCAGGTTGATCAGCGACAAACCTGTCCTGATCGTAGAGACAGCAGTGTTTGCTCTACGTCGGCGTATTCTGATCTGACCACTAAAGAGATTCAAAGTTTGGAGCTGCTCGAATTGGTGGTTCGTGTTATTGGACAGGTAAGAAAACACTGAAGTCTGAATAAGGAATATTTGTGTAATTTGGATAATTTATTGTATTAAGGTGAAAAATTTAATTAAGCTAGAGTCCTGTAGTTTGTAAGCTGCCTAGAATTCATAATTTGATATGCAATATTTAATGCTTTACCAAGTAGCTCTAATAAAAAACTTATTTCAACCTGGAATTGACACTAGATAATACAAAAAATTGGGGAAGAGAAGTAAATTCATAAGACACAAAATCACTACAATGTCAACTGTAGATAGATATTTAAAGTGGATGAAAAGTTAGCATATGCAGTTTGATACTGAAAACTGTGTGGCTCTGAGCCTAGTTTACAATAATAGTTAAAACGTCGGCCAGGTAATGTTAAAATTACGAAATATGAATGTGAAAAGGTTCTGAGAGTCGTGATTATTGTGACTAGCTGAAAAATCCATGCACAAATGTATGGAATAAAGAAAGTACGGTACCGAGATTCATTTCTAGAAGTGTTAAGAATACTGTAATACATATACAGTGTAATGTTATTTCTCGGCTTTATCTTGCACTTGTTAGGCCCCATTTAGATTATGCCCAGGTACCCATTTACTGCTGAGTGAACAGAGGCTACAGTTAAGGAGTGACACCTGGTCAACACTCCCCAGCCAGGATACTAACCAAGGCCAAAGCGCTTGCGAAGCGCCAGCCGAGTGTCTTAACACTGCGCCACGGGGACTGCTGTAATTTGAAGCTGCTTCATATAGGGAAAGAAAGAAGAAAAGTCCTTTTGAATTTTCCTTTATTCTTATGTTTTCCTTTATTCTTATGTTCTTTTCCATAGGTTGCAAATGTAAAGGAGGCAATAAATCCAGTGTGCCGAGAATTTGTGCCTCGTATCGTGACTTACCTCTCTAATGTACAAGTCATCCATAAGTCAGCAACACGAATGTTGGTTACAATTGCCAGGTAAGATAACTGTTGTTGAAATAATTGATACAACATGTGTGTTTTGCTTATTTTTAGTGCTGTTTATTGATACAAGACTTGTGGCAGCTTTTTAAGTTTAGACCTATTCATGCTTGATACAACATTGCCTTCAGCAAATTTGTTTTATTTCAAGGATGCAGTGATAGGAATTGAATGAATGATGAATGGAATTGACATCAATTATATAATAAATGAGGCACAAAATTATGATGATGGATATGGAGAGTTCATCTTTCTGATGATTTTGAATGTTCAAAAGTCAAATGCTATTAATGAAATGGTCAATCACTTGGTTTACATAAAATTGAGGGTGTTTGATGTAATCAATTAAGCTTTTCGTATTTATATTGAAGCATATTAAGCTTTTTATGTACAACAATAAAAACTGCAGCATTATTTCTGTCTTTTAGATGTGTCTAATATCTTGTGAATTATTTTGACAGAAACCCTTTGTGCATCCAGCCTCTCCTAGATAGTCTCTTCATTCCATTCGTGGGAGTTGAACTGGGTGAGGCAGGAGACCCCGAGTCCCCAAACGGCTGTTCTCAGTGTCGCATACTCTCTGACGGAGCTGTGGCTTTTCTTGATCAGATGGTGAACTTTTTCAACCATGTTCATCAGTATGGACAGTGTGAAGTCTCGAACAGGCTCCATCCTGCACGCGCTCACAGTTTGAGAGAGGGATGCATTATGGCACTTCCGCATGTAACAAGGTAACATTTTTTTTAATTTTGGGTATGATAAAAATACTAGTACTGTATATATTCTTGATGTATATGCTATATGGTTATTTTGGAAGTGTCTAAACAGGCTCCCTATTAATGCCTGTTAAGCCGGTGTAATTTATTATTAATATGTTTATTAATAAGTTGTTCAGGAAGTAACTCTTAATGTTGAAAACTATTGCTCAAACTTTAAAAAATAGGGAAACTGGTTTATGTTGATGACAATGAATAAAATATTATTTTTTTTTAAGCTAATCACTATGCAGTGTTCCATGTTAATATATGCTGGGACGTGGCTCCAACATTGCTCAAAATTAAGTGATGCAAATGGCATCGTATCTCGTGTGATAAAGGGGGTTAGATAATTATGCTGGGGGTGCATCTTTCTAAATATCTCTTAGTTAGTTCCAAAATTGGCCTTGGGTTTAGGGCTTGAGGCATGCCCCAGGACGTAGACAGAATTGACAGATTTTTTACAGCTGTGAGTGGAATGTGATTGTGTGAGGGGGAGGGGAATGTGAACATTCCCCTCCCCCTCGTTGAAAGGCTTGATAATGGTCCAAGATGGACCAAAACGTCCTCGTTACCAAAACCATACATCTTCTGATGTGTGGTTTGGTAATCATACACTATTCATTCGTGTTTGTATGTCATGTATGAATATTTATTCTTGTTTTGATTAGTTTTAAATCAATCTTTAATTTACAGGTGCCCAAAACTTTTGCATGACTTCATGGTATGTCACCCAACACTGGATGTAATCATGAATATCCTACACTCCGAGAAACCTCCCAATGAAGCGAGCTACATGTATGCAACAGCAGCCATCTCAAGACTTGCCACAACACTTCAGGTAAATTAGTTAGCTCATTATTCTTTATGCTTATTGAACTCTTAAGAGCTTGCTATAATCTGAACCCCACTAACCCAGACCTTTGGGGAATCCAGATGGAACTGCTCGTATGAATCATTTTGGATTTCATTATGTGACGAATTTGTTGCTGGAAAGTGGAATGAGTATTAGTAATGTATCCAAATTGTTCTTACTTTTTGTTGTTGTTGTTGTCAGAAAAATATTTCCCATGCAAACTGAACACTGTTTGTACTGTAGCATTTTGACTTGTCATCATCCTAGTGACTATAATGTAGATTTCGTCACTATAATGTAGAGTTGGCTTTAAATTTTTGGGCATCAAGTTGTCATTAGCTAAATAATTAATAAGGTTTTTATTTTTTTGGTGACACCTAATTTTTCTCCACAGCTGGATAATCAGTACAAGCCTGTCATGTGTACTGTGTGTTTGCATCAAGGAAAGCACACACCTGAGGAAGTTGCTGAACATATCAGGATGCAACAGAATAAGGACAAGAAGCTCAATTACTCACTGGACAGTTCATTTTTTTTCAACAATTCTTCGGAATCGGAGGAAATTAAAACCAAAGAGTGCAAATGGGAAAATGATAAGGTTAAGGATGTGATATTCAAGCTGGATGACGGTAGCACAATATCGGCTAATAGGGAATTTCTGTCCGAGAAGAACGAGGTACTGAGGGGCATGTTAATGGGATCATTTGTTGAGAGTGGCAGTTCGTACGTTAAAATGCCATTGACAAACAAGGCAGCGCTGGAAATGTTAATTCATTTTATATATGGATGTCGGTGCGATGTGATGGACAGTGGTAACATGTCAGCGTACATAGATCTTGTGTTCATATCCCAGATGTACTTTGTGAAACATTTGCATGCCTATGCTGTGTTTAAAATGATGGCTTCAATAAGTGATGGAGAAGATATTCTCAAGATTTTTGAGAGTGGTGTGGGACATATTGACGAGAATTTAATTTTGCAGGCACTTTGTACCGTTCTTGTTAGACCAATGAAGACATGGAAAAGAGCTCGTTGGATGAAAGAACTCTTTCAGTCAAGCCATTCTAAAGACATTGATCATAATATTCGTATGATCATTCACCATCCTTTGGACATGAATAGATTAGTTTGCACCTGTGATCAGTCACTTTCCTTGTATATGGTTAGTGAAAGTGTATATACAAAGCTTTGTTAAGTGTCTGCAGAAAGCAAAGCAGATTCCTTCAAAAGTTTATATTTATTATGTAATATTCTTGTACATAGCATTTTCACTTTTTTTCATTTATGTAATGGAAGTTTGAAATAATTGGTAAAATTGTTAAACCTACAATATTCTGAGTTTCTAGTTAGCCATACTTATGCTAATAATGGGAACCAGGTTGATTAAAGTTTTCAATTGTATGAATAGTTTTGTAAAGTTAACAGTAAGATAACTGAAAATCTTGTTTACTTTTGTTTGTTATCTATGTAAATTCTGTCTATGTTGATGGATTCACTGCATGCAAGCTGTACAATCATTTTAAACTGGCTCAGATTTTTGTTTGTTTTACAATGATGATAAAGTGTCCCAGTAACTTGAACCCGGTATTATATTTTCTGTTTTTCTTGGAATTTCTGTTGTGTTAAAAAATGGACCCAGTTACATTGATATACAACTACATTTATCTTTTTTTTTTTTCTAAATTGTCTTAGCCAATTGAGGGCCTGACAGCTGAGTGGACAGCACCTCGGATTCGTAGTCCTGAGGTTCCAGGTTCGATCCCTGGTGTAGGTAGAAACAAATGGGCAGAGTTTCTTTCACCCTGATGCTTCAGTTACCTAGCTGTAAATAGGTACATGGGAGTTAGACAGCTGCTATGGGCTACTTCCTGGGGGTGTGTAACAAAATAGAGGCCTGGTCGAGGACCGGGCCACAGGGACGTTATGCCCCGAAATCATCTCGTGATAACCTCAAGATGGCCACCACATTCTTTAATACATATATAGATGAACGGTTTTGATATAAAATTTGAAATGTTTGAAGCTACCATGTTTTTTCTTTGACCCATGGGCATTAAATCTGCACTTCCTCCTTTAAGAGAGTACTTACATTATCCTTTTAGATTATGAAAAATATAAATAGTTTAAATTAGTTATAATGAGTTTTAGCTCTTATTAAATATTCAGACTTTACAAACTATCTTATGACCTTGAATTTTTCACAGCTTTACATCAAGGTTAAATTTTTGTTGTAACTGGAAAATTTGATGTGTGTTATTGCCAAAGTATTTGATGAGCTTAACTTTTGGCATTCTTTAAAAATTGGAAGATGATTTTTCTTTTAAATGGTTTATTTTTGTAAGCAGTGAAGATTAACATCACTATAGAAGGCCAAACTTATGTGAAGAAAGCCATATTTTTAAGACTTAATTTACAATTTATTTTACAATACAGTATGGTATAAGAAAGATAAACATCGATGTTCTTTCTGCTGAAGGGAATAACTGTAAAAATGTTTACTTTCATAAAGATATGAAGTTGTTCTCTACTCAATTTTTTGATTGTTCAGAATGCTTGATGCTGACAATGAAGTAGAGACATGCCAAGTTGAGAATTAGACTTTATTAGATATGTTACGTCACTGCTTTATCAAATTAAGGAGAAAAACTTGAATAACTGCATTTGAAGGGAAAGAAGTAAGTAATTATCAAAAGAAGGCACCAAGCCAGGAAGTGTGTCTAGCATCTGAAGGGAAAAGAAGTAAATGGAAATGTTAAAGGTCAGGTCAGAGAAGCAAAGAATTAAAGAAGTTATAGTTCATATTTTTGTAAGTACTGAATTTATTTATCATGTGAGGCTGTGATATTATTTTCCTTGATTGTGTTTGATCTATCTTCACTATCTTTATTTTGTATCAAATACAAGTTATTGTATTATATACAAGTTATTTCTTCATAGATAATAAGTTTGTGTATAGTTGTTCGAAAGGCATTTCTTCCTGCTTGTCTGTGTGGAGGGAACATTGGCTGTGTTATTGCAATGATACTCGTGCATATGTTTGAACTTTTATGAACGTATGTACAAGTGCTGCACCGATAATACCAATCATGCTTGCCTCGCACACGGAATCCAGAAACTAAACTCATAACTGGGGAAAAAATAATAACGTTAGAAGGCATTGAATAAAATATGCAGTCATTAAACATTACCAAATCATCAAAAAGAATCTATAAATATTCTACAATATATATATAGTTTTTATTTAGCAAATGGGGTTTTGCTAAGAAGTATATGAATGATGGTGAGCATAACCCCTGGCCCCTCTTTTCTATTGTAAGCTTGCTTGCTAGATAGAGCATGTGTGTCTTGCTTTCCAACTGCCCCTCGCGGTCACCTGTCCCTCAATAGAATTCTTGGTGACTCGGATACTTTTGTTAACGTTCGCCTTGTGCGTTTTTTTGTTCTCGTATTGGCATCCTTGGTGATATTTAGCGCCCTCTGATTATTCCGCACATTTGATGGTGCTAGATAGCCTTCCCGGTTTGGTGCCTTCTTTTGATAATTGCTTGCTTGCTAGATTTGTCAAAGGCCTTACAAGTGACATGCTATCTGTAATGTTTACTCTTGATTCAGCAATTCTCTGCATCATTACTGGTGTGTGTTTAGCAAAGGCATTGGCTATTAGAAGACTAGATTTATAAATTTAGTGGCTAAATGCAGGGAATCTTAATTTATCATAGGGAAACTACTGTTCTACAAGCTTAAAATATATACTAAATTTAGTTTGTTGCAAGATACTTTATTACTATATCATGTTAACACAAATTGGTTACAAGGTTGGTCTTGCAGTGTAAAAAAAAAAATTAAGAATTTTGTTTGGAGTTAAGTTTCAGGCGGATTTGCATATCAGTTAGTCTTTTTCCGTATGTTATTTTCATTATGTGCAGCTTATTTTACGTTCTTAACTACCAGGAATATTACTGGAATAAGCTGTGATTATTTTAGTAATACAGTATTTTGATAGATTCTGTTTTGCATGTTAAATGTTGTTTCAATACAAATAGAGGGTTTTGGGCACAATCCTTCAATTCATTACCAGTGATTTTACAATAGCCTTCTGGTCTAAGTGAATGTTGTTTAGGTATGACCTACTAAGGATGGTCTGATTATGTGATGTAGACGTATAGTACATGTATATAGTTAGAGCTTAAAAAGTTTATTCATCAATACTACTGCATAGATAATTGCATATCACTATATTGCCATTTTTGGTGTGTATCCAAAAATGGATACACACCATTTGGATACACACGCTGAACAAGTAGGGTTCAACCCTACTTGTTCAGTAGTTACTGAACAAGTAGGGTTGAACCCTCCATACGCTTCTGATAGTTTGACACCTGCTTTCTCCTGCAAGCAGGCCAAATCCCTATCATAATGGGAAAGTGGCAGAAAAAAAAGGCAATTAAAAATTGACTGCTGAAACTGGATAAAGTTGTAGGAGAATAGTAAAAATGAAATATTTCAGTGTATTCATCTGGGTATATTTTTATTTGTGTGTGTATATATACAGATGCATGCTAACCACGAGTTGATTTTTGAAAACAACACTTAGAGAAATATGCTCTTCTCAAATTGTTAGGAGGTACAGTAATCGTGTAATCATATTTTGGCGTACATGTTCTGCCAATATACTTCAATCCAAAAATAATTTGTTTGGAAAAGGTTTTCTCGTCATTAAGTAATTAAACATTTGAGTTTAGAAAAACACAGTTATGTAGTAAATCTTTTTATTTAGTTTTTGTATTTTGGAAGAGTTGCATTTTTAGTGTAATATTATTTTGAGTGGATTTGGTGAAAACAGTGCGCTGAATAACCAAACTGGTTTCTACACTGATCCCAAGATGTAAATCTGTTCACTAATTTCAGGATTTTACTTTTCATTGTAGTTAAATATATAGGTGATAGGACAGTAAGGGGCAGCAATGGGGGAAGTAGAGATTTATAACAGTGTTGTGTAGAATTAGAGTGTTTTATTATTATTATGAGAAAATGGACATGCACAGTATGTGAGGAAGGGGTAATGCATCTCATGCATTGTTTATGAACAATGCATGGAATATTGGGTAAGGAAAAAAGGGCTGTTTGCTTGCCGTTTCTAATGGGGGGAGTGAGTGAATGTGTATTTGTGCTGCATTATACCATTCACTAGAGTAAATAGTAGTGTACACCCGGTTTTAGTGAAATGGGGGGGGGGGTGTTGCTGTTGTTGATTGCTGGAGTGGTGTGCTTGTTTATCTGTGATGCTGTATAATGTGTATTCTGTACAACAAATGGATGAGTTATAGATTTATTTTGTATATTTTTAACCTTATCTAATCCTTTGGCTGATATGTAGAGCCAGATTCTAGTCCCAACTCCTGGTAGACAAGAACGAGTCTTGGAAGCTTGGCTGGACCAGTAATTACGGTGCCTACCAAGGTGTAGTTGCAGGCCAAGAGCTACGCTTGTGGTGTCCCGTCTTCCCAGTACTCTTTGTCATATAACTCTTTGAAACTACTTGGGGTTTGGCCTCCATTATCTTCTCACTTGTTCCATCTACCACTCTGTTTGCAGAAGCGAATTTTGTTTTTTGGCAGTTTTGTTTCCTTAGTTGGAACCCATGTCCTCAATGGTAGCTCAGGGAGGTAATGACAACCTACACCAAAGGAGAACATTTTATTACATTCAGTGCTTTATTTTTCTCTGGTCTATTGTCTTACCTTCCCCAATTAAAGTGGGAAGGGGGAAATAATAAATGAAAGCAGTTGTTTTAGAGTGCAGGATATTTGTACAAAGGGGTATTAAACAGTCATTCATGCATTTTTTTGGGGGGGACATTTGGCAAATAGATAGCAAAATATTTTTTGTATTAGATGATTAAGAATAAAAACACAGTATGGGATGAGGAAAGACAAAAAGTACTTTTTTCACAATAAAATGCTAATAAAGTGAAGACGACATACAATAGTGTTACATCAGGTAGAAGGTGGAGATGCAGACCTATGAAAAGATGGGCAGAAGTGAAGCGGCTAGGGAAAGCAAGTGGTGATAATGGTCCAGGATGGACCAAATGTTGTTTCTTTCACTTTCTGATGTGTGGTTTGGTCAGCCCGTCCTCCAAACAAACACCTAAAGTCCATTCCATGCACTTGCCAAACCCTGTTTATGAATGAAAAACGGTTTACACATGACTCACAACTAAACTAAATTTATTTTGAGTATATACCAAGTAGGTGATGTATTTTAAGGATGATAATTATTAAACCATTTATGCTTAAGTTATCAATGTTTTTTGTTAAACTGCTATTTACCTAGCAGTATACTAAAGGATGTACAGTATAGATGGTCTTATGTTGGCCTTGTTTTTTTATTTATTAAAAGAAAATAGTCACAAATAAAAAACATTCAGTAAGTATATTCTGAGGAATATTATGTGTAAAAGAAGTAAGGTAAGATAATCGGGGAAAAAGCACTGTGTCATTATGAGTAGAATGTACTTGGAAAGGGTAAGGATAGGATGAATTATTTGCTAAATTGATGAATGTACACTTGAATGAATGAATGTACATAAATGGCCACTGCCTTTGAAC